AGTTGCGAAGCGGGGTGATCGCGTGTCGATAGATTAATTTTCATAACTGTGATTATTGGACGGTGTTCGTCGGCGGGTCGCATCGCATGGGCCGAGATATTGCTGTTATCTGGCCCGATTAATTGGTTGGAAGTCGACTTTGCGTGTACGTCGAATTTCATACGAGTTTCATATGTAAATTGCACAGTCGGGGGAGGAGGGGAGGAAGATCCGTAATTTTATGTCGGGACGTAAATTTTCTCGCGTTTCGTTACAAAGTTACGAAACAAAGTACGATTTGGATTATAGTTTCAAACTGGAGGGAGAAGGACAAGAGTGGAATTTTCGAGTATTTGAAACGATGATAAACGATGGACGGATGAAGAAAATGATTTGAACTCGGGTAAAATACCTGTTTGGACAGGTATTTCGAATAGAACCTTGAGAGAAACGGAAGACATTGGAATCGCGAATTGTCGTAACTCGCGTCTCTTTTTAAACAGAACTCTCTCGCCGTTGACCGGCGCGTTATCAGATTAATGTTATTAGATTATTCGCAAATCTGTTTTTCGCCGGGCAACTCGGGGAAAACTCGATTGGAAAACTGGCCGTTTTTCTCGAGCACAAGGATCGACGAAGGGTCCTGGATAAAATATGTACTCGGAAAAATCGAATTTAAACGGGTCTGGGCTGGGAAACGCGAGCGGAAACGAGATTCGAAGTGCACGCTTTCAAAGATAGCGTACACGTCGAGAGACACTCTTTGGATCGCGACCCGGATATCCGTTTTACCACCGGAGGGCAGGAACTTTCCTTCGAGATCGAATTCGTATTCGTATTATCTCGACACCTAGTCTCATCGACGAACGTCCTCGTCGCGAAAAATTCATGCACTCGACTCGAATCGAGGCAAATAAATCTCTCTCTCTCTTTCGTTTCTTCTTCGATCGAAAACTAAACGCGACTTTTATCCATTCGAATTATTCTCGAACGAGAAAAATTCAGTTTTCGGTGTTACAGCAGCGCGGTGAAAAAGTTTAACGACGTTTCCGCCTTTTAGCTTTGCTAAAACCATCGACTCCCCTCCCTTTCGAGGGCTACGACGATTCTAAAACGCAGTCACGGGCTACGGCCCTCTCGACGCCATTGGGGTTTACGGTTACGGTTAAGTACAGAGCAAAGAGATCGTATCGTTTTCCGAACGATTTGGCTAATCGAGCGGCGGCCGCGATATGGCGGAGAGGGGACGACCGCGGCCGCAGCTATGCGCATCCGCCGACCGCTCCGCAGCTTCCGGTTGCGGGAATTTAAACAAGAATCGGGGCTTAGAATCCATCCCTCCCCCCCCCCCTCCCTCACCAAGGAACGTCGAAACGCCCTTTTTCCCTTAACGGCCACCGTCGTCCTTTTAATTTGTCACGCTGTTAAGAGTTAATTTCAGTTTCGGTCCCGGCAACGGAGTGGACGAGATTGAAATTGCTAATTTCTACGCCGCGCTGGCTTCGCCCTTCGTATCGAGCGACGTGTTTATTCGATCCTTTTTTTCTTACTTTTATTCCTCTTTTCTTATTTTCTTTTTTTTTCTTTTTTTTTAATTCGTATGGAAAAATGAGAAGAGAGAGAGAGAGGAAGGGCATCGAGCCGGATTGCCATGAAGATTGTTTTTTTTTTCTTTTTTTTTTTTTAAGAGAGAAGAATTAATTATTCTTAAAGGTAGAAGGGAGGAGGAGAGGGGAAAGTTTCAACGATATCCGACCGCTGGAAATTAGCTGCGAGAATTAACACCGAGTTCCCTTGGTGGGTGAAATTTTTTTTTGAGGAAGGGCGTTCTGAGAATTAGCTGAGAGGAGAAGGGAGGAGAGGAGGCTCGTAGAAAGTAACGATCGGCCGAAATTAACCTTAAAACCGGCGTTATGCCCTCCATTTTTCGCGAGGAAAATCACTCAGGATTTTTAATATCCGTCCCTTAACGCGCCCCTTTTCGAACGCTTCTCGAACGCTGAAAAAATTCCTCTTTCCTATTTCTCCCCTTTCAAAAATTGTCCACACTTGCTCGCCCGTCGTGCAATTCCTCGTGCTTCCAACGATTAAAAACCACCGTCTTTTTCCCTGGGGAGGGGATTCCATCCCAATTCGCCAACATCGACGAAGACCTAATCGACCTCACTCTGGATCCTCCACTCTCTGGGACACGTTTTGAAGCCAGAAAATCCGAA